GAATAAGAATAAGAAAAAAAAATATATTACAGTTAAGAACATGTTATTTTATAAACTATCACAGTCTTTCGATTTTGTTGACTATACAAGCGGATTATATGAACGGAATATGACTGGTATGGGGAGGGGGGTTAGGAGGAAATGATGACTCCAAATACCTCAAAACACCCCCCACCGAATCTCGTGGGAGTGAACTCTCGTACGTTCATAGCAGGCAAATTCTTATTTTTCGCAAGTCGTGCACACGGAAAACCAACCTATGACGGTAGTAATACCACGTGTGGTTACGTCCATCTTTTATTTCTCATAATTTCGGTTCCGTTCCGCCGCATCGGACCGTTAAATCCGGATCAAAACTCGTGCATCACGTGCAAGTGTTGTTTATGATTAGTTACGACGTAGTCGCCGCGTATACACGTGCTCGACATGCTCAATGTTATTCGCCCCTGGCATTTGCACTCGACAATAATATCCGCCCGTAACAAACGCCACGCGGAGCGACGAAAAACACGACCGAAAGTAATACATTTATAAAAATAAACACTAAATTACGTTCTTGTGCTAGCACGTCCACGGTGGTCGTTTTGATATTCTCACATTTCCCACTTCCCATGCAAATACGATACATTATACGCACGTGCACACGTACATTGGCACACTGACGTGCTTGAACAAAATTTTATTTCTCCGGGAAATCTAAAAAAAAAAAAAAAATAGCTCTACTTTATACCCAAAATTGGAACATTTTACGACGAGGTCGTGATCGAGATTTATGGTATCCAGGTCAACTCGCGGTACTGGCCCTATCATGGGTAAATAAGTATATTAAATATGTTAGTGACCGGATGATCATTTTTTGCACTTCCTGTTCCCATTTAGGGGTGGCTCTAGAAATTAGTTTGTTAAATTTACGAAATGAATATAATACATTTATTACATTTCTCGAGTTCATATTAAAATAAAAACAATAAAAGTGTGTAATTCATAAAAAGTTAATAGTAAAAATATAAAAGTTATGTATGCAGAAGTCTGTGTTTATTATTATGTACCGTAGAATTGTTTTTAATAAATGAATTTTAATTTTTCATTATTAAGTATATGAATCAAATATACAATTAACTAAAAACCAAAAAAAATGTCATGGACGACTTTCCGAAATTTTGAAGACATATATATGAGCATAGAAATAAAGATTTATTAAGTACAATTCGAAGTAAATATTCTTAATTTAAAACACGTGCTTTCATATTATTTGTAGAATAAGATTGAAAATGTTCAAGTTTTATTTGTTCAAAGAGATAACGCGTTCTATGCCACCGATCTATCTTCATCTAACCGAGTCATACGACGGGCGGTTATCAAACGGGAGATAAGTTTCGAGGTACGACAGCGGCCAGTGGCGGCCAGACGGTAATATGTGGCTGCCCGAAATTTTCCTTCTATGTCGCTGTTTCGTGCCGCCAAAGTTTTGATACCGAACCGATATCATGAACACAAAAAATTTTATATTTTTAACAACGTTAATTTAATTAATTAAATGTTTGAACTTTTCTCATTAGATGGCTCGTCTGCACACAAAGTACTCGTGTTTGAAAAAAAAAACAATTATGCAAATCGGTCTAGTAGAACTTCAAATATAATTGTCTTAAAAATCACCTCTCCTTTCAATATTATAATAGGTATCGAGTGTTACTCGAAAAAGGTAGCACTCGACAATTTTCACTGGCCAAGCGGAAAAATTTGATTGTCGTATAAGATGTTTTCACATCAAAAAAATAAATCATTAAATATGATTTAACTGTCAATTAGTTTACGTTAACGATGGTGAAATATTTTATAATATCTTCATGTTGAAGTTTCCTAAAACGACACATCAATAATAAATATATTCTGGGATGTATAACTTTTCGTCCAACATTCCAAACACGAAAGTGATTTTTATCAATTTTAATTTTGAAAATTACCTCTCTCCACTGTTTTTGGTAACCATCAATGAAAGGTACATTCTCAAAGTGACCTCAAATATGGAAAAAAAATCGCTGATTTTTTTTCAAAGAGAATATTATGCATCCATTTTTTCGTAATAATACTACATATCATTCTTCCAGCAGCCGCTCTACTCTCTACATAAAAGCCAGAGCTCAAATCAGTGGTGTTCATTAGAGTCTTCTACCTGTTCATAAAATAATTTAATTTATTATTAAAAAATATTTAAACGTATAATAAACATATTTATCTTTTTTTCGTTATGGACACCTAGATAACTATGAATTTGAACTCATTTACGGTCTCGTTTTACAATGATAGATAATTTTTGTTATAATTTTCATAAATTTTAGAAAAAAAACGCACACATGCACACGATAACTGCTGATGGCAACTATAGGCGCAATTTGGGGGAGGGGCTATGATATGCTTAGCAACTCCATTTTTTAAATTAGCACACCTAAATGTGTTAATGTTAATTTACATTTAAATACTCATTACTTATTATGTATAGAAAAATAAAGTATTTATTGTATAAATGTATAAATTTATTATTTAAATAATAATGGTGGAAGTTTGTCCTTCGTCTTTTCAGTCCTCGAACTGGATAATAGTAATAGGTAGGGTTATCAGATTTTAAAATCCCTAAACTTAAACCATTATATTGAATGACTCATATTTTCAAAAAATTAGGTACCTATTTTTAAAGTTCTATATTTAAATCGAAATTGCTATTAGATAATTTTATCAAATACGAAAATAAATATTTTTGGTACAGGGTTAAAGTTTAATGTTTCTAGCCACATTACTTTTGGAATTTTGACTAGATAACTAAAATCTGAAAAGTGAAAGTCTCATTTACAGCGTATTTTTACCGTTTCAGGACAGAATTTTTCCATACGCCTAGAAAAACTATTAAGATTTAAAAAAAATGACCTATTTAAAGTACCACTACATGCCAATTTAAAATCTAAACATTTCCTAGAAAAAACTTTTGGACCAGTATTTCTATGCGTAAAAGTGTTAAAAAAATAAGATACAAACATCATTATAAAACCGTAATATTCTTTGCTTCAATTAGAATCTGAAAATGATCATGTGATGAAATATTTGTGTTTACAGACGGGTAATTCATTATATGCGCAGTAAAAATATAAAATCAAAGCGAACAATTTAATCTTAGAAATATTCAAATATTCAAATATTTACTAAATATTTTACTAACTGTTAAATAGTACGAGTTGTGGGTGTATATTACCATTAAGAAACATGAAAAAAATAGAAGGGCTTCAGCACACCCAGTTTTTTTATTGAAATTGCACCCCTGATGGTAACACTATATAATAATAAACTTCGTGAACGAGCAAAATACAATTTTATACTCGTGCTACTTTATAGGTCGAACGCCCCCGCAGGCATTGCATTCGATTGGAGTATGTATATTATGGTTAGTGTACCCGTGAAAATCTGCTGTATTTTCACTCTTTTTTCTACGCTATCGAACAAACGCAGCAAGTTGCTAAGCGTAGAAAGGGTAGGGTAGCAGTTAAACAGTTTGTATCAAAAGCCAAGCCCAAAACAATTATATAAATATACATGCAATATTGGATGAAATGCATTTTACAAATTACCTACTTACCAACTTTTTGTCCGATCAACCATCCATCATAAGGCACAAATCATAAAAAATGAAATAATCATAACTCAAAATAATCATATAATATTATGATCACAATATCTATAATAAAGTTTTTAATGACCAGGCTTAGGGACTTATAGCATTTACATACATTTTTTTATTATTGTTAAATAAAGCAGAGTGCGAAATAAATTCGATTCTCGGTGCTATGATATCAGATCTAAAATTTGAATGTGCATATTTTTGCATATTTGATAGATTTTGCAGGAGAATGCATATTTTAAAATTGTTATGCTTATTTTGCATATTTTGACAAATTTTTCAAATTTAAAATTAAAAACTATCAATACATATAAATAAATATAAATATTTCAACCGATCGAAAAAAAATGTACTAAGAGGACTTTATGCTTCCAGTAATATTCTATCTGCAAATTACCTCTCATATATCGTTATCATTTTTGTGTAAGTATGAATAATAATATAAAACCGTATCGACCCGATGTCAATAAAAATAATAGTCGATATAGAATAATAGATTATTTGTTTAGTGTTTAGTGTTCAGTTCCGTCGATTATTATCCGTCGTTGTTTTTGCGTCTCGCAACCACGGTAACGTCGAATCATACGTAAAACGGTTGTACGCGTATATTTTAAAACATTGTATAATGACAAAAGTACAACAGTCTACGAGTAGCCGACTACTAAGTTTTGTTTCGGCATTAAAAGATATATTTAAATCCGATGAACACGTTTTATATTGTATACTATGTGGTCATTTTTTTTTTTTTTAATGCATATAAATGCATATTATAATGATTTTATAAGCATATTTGCATGCATATTTATGTATTTTTTAGAGCTTATTAGTCCTTAAGCCTAGTAATGACAATCATAGGTAAAAGGTAACGAACACCGATAGAGTACCAAGTATTAATCGTTAAACGTTACGACCGTTATAATTGGCACAACCGTATGTCTACGAAATACAAATGTGGTGACGTAAAAAACGCACCGCGAATCGTCCAAGTTGTTTACAATATTGTCAGTGGATAAGGGGAAATCCCATGTTCTAGAATATGCGATAATTATCTCGTTAAGGTAATTTCGAGAATGTTCTAGACAATCGACGCCGATATATATATACCGGCTGGTCAGACGCTCATTCAGTCAGTCCGTGAGTACAATCCGCGACACACCGTGAATTACACTCCGCGATATATTCGGCAATTCCTCCGCAATTGTAACACGTATCGATATTTGTTTTTTCACATTAATGTACATACATATTTATATAATATAGTGTTTATTTTAATTAAATTAAATTGTGAGTGATTTTTATTACTTAAATCCCACAAATTGGTGACCTCAACGTGATGGCAGAAACAGACGCAACGATTGCTCGAGTGGCCGTCAAAATACCGGATTTCATTTCGTCAGATCCCAAACTTTGGTTTGCTATGGTCAAAGGTAGTTTCGCCAGCGCGGGAGTCACAGCTGACAGCACGAAATTCGGGTATGTGGTTGGAGCATTACCGCCGAAATATGCAGTTGAAGTCAAAGACATAATTATGACGCCGCCCTCGGGCAGTAAGTATGTCAAAATTATAGATGAATTAATAAAACGTCTTAGTGCCTCCCAAGAGGAAAAAACACGTCAACTTCTGGAGCGCGTTGAGATTGGTGACCGTAAACCGTCACAATTTTTACGCCACCTCCAAAACCTGGCTGACTCTTCCATTCCGGAAACATTATTAAAGATACTTTGGATGGGCCGCCTACCAAAAAGTATACAAGTGGCGTTAACAATAGTTAAAGATAGTAAGCTTGAAGAACTCGCTGTCCATGCAGACAACATCGCGGATGCATCTGGTCCTTTGCTACCTCAAATAGCAGAGACATCGAGAAGTGACACTCTTGAAGCCATGTTGAATCTTAAAATTTCTCAGTTTACCTTGAGTATAAATCAGGAAATTGCGACGTTGAGAAGTGACGTGGCAGCGATCAATTCTCGTCCTTCGCGTAATCCGGACTCAAGACCAAGTACTTTCCGCTCAAGATCTCGATCTCGGAGCCGTACTCTCCATGGTGCAAATGGATTATGCTGGTATCATTGGGGTTATGGATCACAATCGCGAAAATGCAAGGAACCTTGTACCTATAATTCGGGAAACGTAACGGGTCATCACTGATAACGGCCAGTGAGACCAGTCCGCCCCGCACCGTCTATTCATTACTGATCGAACTTCTCAAACTTAATTTCTCATCGACACGGGTGCCGACCTATGTGTTTATCCTCGTAGTGCTGTTCCAGACCGACGAGTAAAATCCGATTACGTCCTATCAACAGCCAATGGCACGCCTATTAACACCTACGGTACTATCACGCTCAGCCTCAACTTCGGACTTCGTCGAGATTTCACTTGGAGATTTGTGATCGCGGAAGTACCCAAACTCATTATTGGTGTGGACTTCTTGAGTCATTACAATCTATTGGTAGACGTGCGTAATCAATGTCTTTTATACGGTGTTACACGACTCACCGCTCATGGTCACGTTGCTGAATCCTCCATTCCATCCATAAAGATTGTCGTGGGAGAAACGAAATACGACTGTTTACTACGAAAATTTCCCGAGATCACTCGACCATATGGAGCGCCTAAAGACATTAGGCACAGCACCAAACACTATATTCAAACGACACCAGGACCCCCAGCATCTTGTAAACCACGACGCTTAGCACCTGATAAGCTCAAGGCAGCAAAAAAGGAGTTTGAAGCTATGATCCAATTAGGCATTATTCGACCGTCCCAGGGACCTTGGGCATCACCATTACACTTGGTATTAAAGAACACAACGGACGCCTGACGTCCTTGTGGGGATTACCGTGCTCTAAATGCTTGGACTATTCCAGATCGGTACCCGGTTCGTCATATTCAGGACTTTGCACACTTTCTCCACGGTAAAACGATTTTTTCAACAATTGACCTAGTCCGAGCATATAATCAAATTCCTGTAGCTGAAGAAGATATTCCTAAAACCGCAATCGTGACACCATTTGGACTTTACGAATTCTTCTTTATGTCTTTTGGGCTTCGAAATGCAGCACAATCGTTTCAACGATTTATTGACGAAGTACTTTTTGGACTTGATTTCTGTTACAGCTACATTGACGACATATTGGTGGCATCTGTTTCTGAGGAAGAGCACATCAAAAATTTACAGAACATTTAAGAGCGTTTACGCGAATACTCTCTGGTTGTCAATCAAAAAAAATGCGTTTTTGGACAGTCAGAAGTAAAGTTTTTAGGCTACATGATTTCTAGAGAAGGAACACATCCTCTACCCGACAGAGTCACTGACATTTTGAGCTACAAGAGGCCATCGTCCGCTAAGGGTCTACGACAGTTCTTGGGTATGATAAACTTCTATCGTCGTTTTATACCTGGAGCTTCAGACACACAAGCACCACTAAGTGATCTTTTGGTACCCAATTTAAAAGGTAAGTCATCTATTAACTGGACACAAGAGGCTATTTCGGCTTTTGAAAAATGCAAGGAGAAACTCGCCACAGCCACGCTTCTCGCACATCCATGCGACAACGCTCGACTGGCTATTGTAAGTGATGCTTCAAACACCGCAGTTGGCGCAACTCTCCAACAGTTCATCATTGATGAGTGGCAACCTCTTGCCTTCTTTTCCAAGAAGCTCATAGCGACCGAGACGACATACAGAGCCTACGATCGAGAACTTCTCGTGATCTACCTTGCTGTCAAGCATTTTCAGTATATGGTGGAAGAATGCGATTTGGTTATATTCACTAATCACAAACCCATCACTTTTGCATTTCAGCAGAAATCGGATAAATCCACACCACGACAATTCAGACACCTAGACTTTATCTCACAATTCACCACGGATATTAGGTATATTACAGGTAAACTGAATATCGTGGATGATAACTTATCTCGCGTTGACGCCTTGTCAGAGACAATAGACTACACTGCATTAGCGATATCACAACAGAGAGACGATGAATTAAAATAATACGAAAAAGAAAACACTGGACTACAACTCAAGCAAGTTCAATTACCAGGTACAAATGTCTTAGTGTTCTGTGACGTATCAACTTTAACCGCCGGGCCTTTTGTCACAAAGCCATTCCGACCTAAAGTTTTCAATAATATACATCGTCTTGCACATCAAGGTGTCAAAGCCACGACGAAGCTTGTTAAACAGCGATTCGTGTGGCCAGCAATTGACGCAGATTGCAGATATTGGGTGAGGGCATGTGTAGAATGTCAACGAGTCAAAATCACGCGCCATGTCACAGAACCTCTTAGTTCATTTTCTTTACCATCTCAAAGATTTGAACATGTTCATTTAGATCTTATCATTATGCCTTATTCTGAAAGATTTCGCTATTGCCTCACGTGTACCGATAGATTTACTCGATGGCCTGAGGTAATTCCATTGGAAGATCAAGAAGCGGCAACCGTAGCACGAGTTTTCTATACGCATTGGATCGCAAGATTTGGTACCCCTCTTCGTATCACAACAGACCAGGGAAGACAATTTGAGTCATGCTTTTTCAAGCAACTTAATAACTTGACTGGCACGAACCATCTTAAAACCACGGCCTATCATCCGTCAGCAAATGGCATGGTGGAACGAAGTCATCGGTAGCTTAAAGCCGCCATTAAATTTCATCAAAATAATCGATGGACAGAAACTCTTCCGACAGTCTTATTGGGCAATCCACCTCTGCAGAATTAGTCTATGGAGAGCCATTCCCTGGTGAATTCCTAACGTCAAAAGATAATGCTGCCAAGTTCGACGACGCAGCTGAGTTTATCAAAGTTCTTCGACATCACATTCAGCAGATCCGACCTGTCAATGGTACACGACATGGCGAGAAGAAAAACTTTGTTTTCAAGGACCTTGCAACCACAGAGTACGTATTCATTCGACATGACGGACCCAAAAATGGAATACAAATGCCCTATGATGGTTCCTATAGAGTCATAAGTCGAAATAAAAAAGCTTTTGTCATTGATATAAAGAAGAAACAAGTTAGAGTAACTATTGATAGACTTAAGCCGGCCTACATCATAGTAGACGACCATTCTAAAGAAGATATTTCGAGAGAAATTCAGACATCTACACCGAATACCATTACAATGGAGGATCAAAGGACACTTTCCGGAAGAAAAGTTCGTTTTTCAGACCGTCTCCAAGTAGGTTCTGCTTGACTCCGTCACTGGTAGGGGAGTGATGAAGTTACGTAAACAACGCACCGCGAATCTTCCAAGTTGTTTACAATATTGTCAGTGGATAAGGGGAAATCCCATGTTCTAGAATATGCGATGATTATCTCGTTAAGGTAATTTCGAGAATGTTCTAGACAATCGACGCCGATATATATATACCGGTTGGTCAGACGCTCATTCAGTCAGTCCGTGAGTACAATCCGCAACACACCGTGAATTACACTCCGCGATATATTCGGCAATTCCTTCGCAATTGTAACGCGTATCGATATTTGTTTTTTCACATTAATGTACATACATATTTATATAATATAGTGTTTATTTTAATTAAATTAAATTGTGAGTGATTTTTATTACTTAAATCCCACACAAATATTTATTATGTAATTAATTAACTAAAAGAAGCGTATTGGTAGCCAAGTTGCGTGTAACCCCGCAGCAAGAATCGAGCCATCTACATCGTGTGCAATTTTTTGTTTTGAAATATGCACCATGTAATTAATTAACAAACTCATTATTTATGTTCTGACTCGATAACTCTATTTGATTATTATCAAAAATACCCAATATATATGCGCACTACACCACTGATACGTTGTAGAAAAAGTGAACAGCGAAAACCGGATCGATTAGTGCAAAAAATTAGTGAAATTTCTTCAAGCAAAATTTTTTTTTAAATGTTCCCACCATCATCATCATCATCATGATTGTTTTTTTGTTTCGAAAGTGTTCGGTGATCTTTTGGGTGGTATTACGTACAACATGAGTTGCAGATACACGTTTTTCTCGCGGACAGTGTAGATGGACAATAATTGGAAACATTGGAAATTGAACTGTCTTTCGTATGCACCCCCCTTCCCGGATATATATTTAAATATACTGACAGCGATTATCGTTTTAACATAACACTGCAGTTTGTGCAATTCTTTCAATTTTACGTATTACGTCAAAACTTAAGAGCTCTTGAACGAAGATTCGATAGAAACATATCATTACCACCGTGCAGACAAGTCTAAACGTTATTTAAACAAACCTATTAAACGTATTTAGATCGACGCATTTTTACCATTGCGATTACTGCTTACATTATTATTCGTTATCAAAAAATCATTACCATTACTGTCAGTGTCAACGTGTGACCGGCAAAATAGTCCCTCCCCCTCCGCATAATGACACGATACTCCCAAACTCCTCGAAACACACGCATTTTATTGCTGTCGGCAAACACGACCATTGATTATCACTAAGGAATGGAATTTAACATGTATACGCATATATATTTATTAGATATTATATGAATTCCCCGGCTTCGCACGAAGTAGTGTTGGGTCGGGACATAGTTTTTGATGGATTATTACCTAGCACTATTTAAAGCCTATTTCGATGTAATTATCGATTATAAAACAAATAATACAACATTTCGAATGAATCGGTGTAGTAGTTTTGGTCGTACGCTGAATTATCCGGTTTTCCATTATCTTTGCCGGTGCCAATAATTTTTGAAATCCCTTCTTATTGCACGTTTATAGTATTGGAGAGACCACTATGTCAAGTTTCATTTTATATATTTTGTGTTTTTTAAATAGTACTCGATGTGTAATCTGTTGAACTGGATTAGTTGTGTTATAATTCGAACGTAAAATATTTGTTTGATTTGTCAACAAAATAACAAATTTCTTCGTTATTACATTTATTACATGTCCAAAGGTGCTAATTATATACAAAAAAAAAAACAATTCATTATCTTACGGCCATTAATCTTCAATATTTCCTTTATTTTGTTTCATTCATAATCTAGCTGCATAGATTTCATGTACCTATTTATCTAGAGTGAGTTTATATTAGGTGAATATTGATTGCTTATTAATGTAAAAACGTACGCATGTTTGACTTGTACAAAATGTATAAATGTAAAAATTTACAAATGCAAAACTTCCGAGTTAAGTTGAATTTAACTGATTTGGTGAACCACCGTGACTAGTAAATCAAGCACAAAAACATAATTTATATCACAACTTCATGATTTCCTATAAGTTTGACATGGTGGCAAGACGATGTTACTCTGCCTAAAACAATTTTCAATATGGGAAACACAGAAATGCAAAATGATTTTAATTGAAATTTGTTCTTTTAATTTTACCAGGTTCTAAATAATTTACAAAAATTATTGTTACAATCGAAACAATTATTCTTGTAGTGGCATAGGATTTCGTCCCTTCTATTTTTCTTTTACATTGAAATTGTATGTGTGTCATACTGTATTAATAGTCCATACTAAATTTTGCCTTATAAAAGCACCGTGGAACTAAAACCTTTCATACACTTTAATTTTATTTGCTTGGCACACCTTAAGACATATAATTAACAAAGTAAAGTGATTTTGATATGATATGAATACTAAATTACATTAATATTTTCTCATAATTGCTTTTACGATACGATAATATCTCATTGACTTCGTATTTTAAACAATTACTCACAATATTATCCGGTTCAATATACGAACAAATGAAATGTGATACAATAATTTTGTTTGACTATCTTTCATACTTGATTAATAGTTATACAACATTTGACATAGTCAATCTAAGATTTTTTAACTATTGATGTATAAAATACAATGTACTTATATTAAATATAATTATATTATTAGACAATATTTTTATATTATTCATATTGTTGATATTTTAATATATTCATAGTGCTTAAAAATAAAATTATCTTTAATTTATATTTATTTTTTATGTCAACAGTTTAAAAATCTTTGCTCGACTATGACACAATATTGAAAAATAGCTACCAACAAAAAATAATGTAATTAATTTATGAGGTTAATAATGAAAGTTGTACAAATACAGGTTTCTTTTTATGACAACATTTATTATAGGAAAAAAATTATTCAATAGCGAAGAAACGAAAAAGATAATACAGCAACATGTGAAAGAGATGAGTAGTTAAAGAGAATGTAACATTCATTATCACCATAGGTCTCATACAGTGAATTTTATTGTTAGGGTACACGACTTGAGTGAAACATGGGATAAGTGTTAAGGAAGCAGATTATATTCGTGACGAAGACGAGAAAAAGAGACAGTGTGGTGATTCGGGAGAGTAGAGATTGCTTCAAGCGAGGTATCAAAATATGTATAATTGTATAAAGAGAAAAACAGAAGTCAGTACCAATCTACGTTAAGACTTATCAGTGGGTTGGAAGTAAGCCTGATACCGGGATTTTCAAAGAAAAAGGTCTGAATATATTTCTGTCGAGAACGGCAAGAGAATTAGTCGTTTTATAACTAATGAAATACCGTCATGTCTATGAACCTAATGAAAATCAATACCACACCGTGACGCAAAAGAGATGGTGTGTTGTTATGAAATAGAGATTTCTCGGAACGAACGACTGGAGTGTAGCAAGGTTAAAAGTTTTAAGCAGCATGGAAGTAGACATGATTTTGAATCAGAAATAAATAGTGTAATTAATGTTTGTATATATATTATAGAAAAGAGAAATATTGGAGTGCGTGATTAATGACATCGTAATTATATACTGTAACATAATCGTGTATTTTATTCGAAACGACCGCGATCGTATAGATATTAGACTGAATGAATATTGTTCTACAAATCACATGATCTTCACCTCCCTTTTGGATATTATAATAGTCAATAAACACGAACACACAAGTACGAGTACATAAATTACACTCGTAACATTATCCAGTGAAAATACTATCGATTTATCATCAATGTTTTTGTTAAATATTATTTCCTCGGATTATGTGGAGTACCTAAAGTTCAACAGACGAATAAAAATATTGTATACGGAATGTAATACAAATACAGACATGCAAGTCAAGCTTTAAAATATTGTATTATTTAGTTATTTATTAAAGTTAATTTAAGTTCAAAGTTCATACTACTTTATATGTTCGTACTATGAATAGAAAACTTACAAATCTCCTTCTTATTATTAATACAATGATATTAACATTTATTTAAATTTCTAACATAATACGTATTATTAAGACGCATAATATTTTATAAATATTTTAATAAGTTCGAATATAGTTCAGAAATTCTATCGCACTCAATAAGTGAACGGTTTTCGTTGAATTTATATTTTATACAAACGTGTTAGTCTGAACTTTATATTTGACAAGAGAAAACTGAAACTCGACGCATTATAAGTTTTAAATGAGCAACTTCCAAAAATTAACTTGGATAAACTTTAATCAAATCATGGTAACGAAAAAAAAAAACAAATATAATATTAATCACGACGTGTGATACAACACTAACTTGTGACTATGATATGTTTATTGTTGATAGTCAACTTCAATTATAATTACTGAACTAAAACAATGTATTAATCATGCCAACGGTTATTGAATCAACAGTAGTTTAAAAAAAATTTTAATCGTTTTCGAATGTACTCATGGTGAGAATCTACTGACTCCATTACACTAGTAGTATTACTATATTATTTGGTTTTTTCGATATATTTATTACAATGGAAATTCTATAAATTATACAAGTCTTGGACAATTAAATCGAATATATAACGAAGACAGATCTTGGATCCGCACTGGAACGGATTTTTTTATTTTGCGGCTGTAAGAAAATAAATGATTATAATTTGCCAGAAAAAAAAAATGTTTAGATAAATGCTATATTTAAGATTTTAGAGATTTTGAAATGGCCATTACGTTAAAAACGTAATGATTTATCTTTTATGCAAATTTTATCTCACGCGCACGAGGTCTGTTGAAATGGTCGAAAAGTAAAACGATGTTAACTGCAGTGACGGTCGGAAAATGTTTGATAAATCTCCATACCAATTATTGCGGACACCTAAAAACCACTTTTTGAATTATCACGAAAATATGGAAATTTCGATTTTCGTACGCGAAAATACAAACATTTATCGTAATATTTGTTTGCTTTATCGAGGAAATTTTAATAAGCAAATAAACTAAATC